TTTTTTTTTTTTTTTTTTTTTTTTGCCAATTTCTATCATTATTAGTGATGCTACTGAATAACTTGGTTAAGGTCCCAATCCTCAGGCTTCCCCGTTGTAAAGGCATATCTTTCACCCTTTATAAGCAACTTATAGGGTAACACCTTGACACATGTAAACATCCCGTCCTCCAAACACTCCTCAATGTTTTAGAGTCAATTGATGAAACTTTCCTGAATCAGTTATGTGTATTGCAAAACTGTGATTTTTCTAGCATTTCTTTAGCATTTACTGGCTCTCAGTGGTCTGTGGAGATATTTGGATTCTCCCTCTCTCCTACCCTCATTATGGACTAGATTTTTATTTATTCAGTGCATTGTAATACATTACAGCCATCACTCTTTTTGGTATGCAAATGGTCCAAGTCTGGCCAGTTGGGAGCCCCTTTGGGCTGGCCCCTGTATCCTTGACATTCATTAATCCTTGAGCACATCCTTGCTTTTTGACCTGAGATGTCCCAGGCCCACCTTGTCCTTTCCCTGCCCCAGCCCTGGAATCAGCCATATCATATCTCAAGAAGCCCTTTTACTGCAGAATAACATTTAGAAACCAGGACTTGGGCACCAGGAGTGCCTGTTGCTACAGAGATATCATGGCTCCTAGACTCTTTTAATGGCTAAAACTAAGAAGTACATTAAAAGAGGAAAGCATAGACATGTGCATTGATATTTCTCCTAAAGTGTTACTCTCTTATAAGGTCTGTGTTAGAGATTCAATTATGGTGATGCTCTGAGCTTATCAAAGAACCTTTCCTCTTTAAAAAAAAACAAAAACAAAAACAACTTAAAATCCGTTTGTATCTGTTCTCACGTCTCTGGAGGGAAAAGGGACAACTGCGTTAATCTCATGTCACTTGAGAAAAACAACCAGTGCTCAGAAAGGTTAAGTAAGTTGCCGAGGATGATTGGTTTTATCGAGTACACTCTTGCTAAGCGTATCTGTGCCACTGGCAGTGTCTCTTCTGCGTCTTAGTAAATTCCTTTTATATCACACTTTTGCTACATACCTAAAAAGCGTTTCTGATGTTGCCAATATTCATAATTTATTCTGGGTCCTTTCAGGTGCGGCTAAATCAAGTCCAGCATCCAAACCAGGATCCACACCTTCTCGTCCCTCATCAGCCAAAAGGGCTTCGTCCAGCAGCTCAGCATCCAAATCTGATAAAGATTTAGAAACACAGGTCATACAGCTTAATGAACAGGTAACTTGGCATCCCCAGCTCTGTCTCTGGGAGCAGTGACAGGTGTCAGGGGGTGAGATGAGCAAACTCCTATGGGCTTGGGATAGGGGGAGGGAAGCGGCGGGAATCAGTGGCTTCAAGCAAGTAAGCATGAAAGGAACTGTTGGGGCAGATAATCAGTGGCCCATTGTGAATAAAAGATGTTAAGTCACAAATCTCAAAGCTATACATTGAGACTGAGGGACAGATGACTCGGCTTTAGGTAAATGCAGGA